TAGAAGATAGGCCAAGTCCGTGGGCCCCTGCACCTGTGTGAGAGACCTGGAAGAAGCTCTTGGCTCCTGGCTTCGGATCAGTACAGCTCTGGCCTTTGTGGCCAGTTTAGGAGTGAACCAGCAGATGGAAGACATCTCTCTCTCTCTCTCTCTCTCTCTCTCTCTCTCTCTCTCTCTGTAACTCTTTCAAATAAATAAATAAATATTTTTTAAAAAGAAAAAATGGACAAAGATATTTTTTCGACTACATAGGCAAACACACAAAAGTAGGATTAAGTAGAGAGAACTGTAAATAAGAATTGAACAGAAACACAGGACCACAGCTGTGCCAATCCAAAGCCAGAAGCCAGGAGCTTGTTCTGAGTCTCCTAAGTGGGTGCAGGGGCCCAAGGTCTTGGGCCATCTTCTACTGCTTTCCCAGGCCATAGCAGAGAGCTGGATCAGAAGTGGAGCAGCCAGGACTTGAACCAGCACCCTTAGGGGCATGCCAGCACTGCAGGTGGTGGCTTTACCTGCTATGCCACAGTGCCATTCCCTGGTTTCTTTAAGATTTAATTACTTATTAGAAAGTCCCTAAGTGATAGAGAAAGAGAGTGGGAGGAGGAAGAGCAGGAGAGAGGGAGAGAGAGAGAGAGAGAGAAATCTACCATCTCTTGGTTCATTCCCCAGGTGTCACAGTAACCAGGGCTAGGCCATGTGGAAACCAAGAGCTCCATTTGGGTCTTCCATGTGGGTGACAGGGGCCCAAGTCCTTAGTCCATCATCCCTTGCTTTCCTAAGAGCATTAGCAGGGAGCTGGATTGGAAGTGGAGCAGCCGGAACATGAACCGGTGCCCATATGGGGTACTCGTGTCACAGGAGGCCACTTAACCCCCTTGGCCACAACACTGGCCACAACTGGGTGAATGCCACTTTTTCTTTTTTTGGATAAAAACTATTGCAATGAGCTGCACAGAGACTGTCTTCTTGGCCCAAGTAACTTAAGGAACTGTGCAACATAGCATAGATGAAGTACATTAGAGCTCATTCAGGAGGACATCTTCTTTCTTTTATATGAGTGGAGGGGACAGGGATGTGCCACTGTGGGTTAAGGCCTCACCTGTGACACCAGCATCCCATATTGGTTCAAGTCTTGGTTGCTCCATTTTTGATCCAGCTTCCTGATGGAGTTCCTGGCTCCTGATTTCAGCCTGCCCCAAATATTCACAACCTATTCTGAACGTTTGGGGAGTGAACCAGTGGATGGAAGACCTCTCTCTCTCTCTCTCTCTCTCTCTCTGATTCTCCCACTCTACATGATTCTTTAAAATAAATATTTTTTTAACTTTGAAGGGAAATAGATTTCCAGCAAGATTGCTTTGTTCAGAAGATTGCACCAAAACTATATCCCCCTTCACTCTACAAGAAAAAAACCTTTTTTTCTCTAGTCACACATATCTACTATGGAACAGCAAAGTAGCTCCAAATCAATATTCACTTAGCCACCCTTTCCTTCATTTGTTGTTGTTGTTGTGTTTTTTTTTTTTACAGGTAGAGTGGACAGAGAGAGAAAGAGAGAGAGAGACAGAGGTCTTCCTTTGCCGTTGGTTCACCCTCCAATGGCCACCGCAGCCAGCGCGCTGTGGCCGGCACATTGCGCTGATCCGAAGGCAGGAGCCAGGTGCTTCTCCTGCTCTCCATCTGGTGCAGGGCCCAAGCACTTGGGCCATCCTCCACTGCACTCCCGGGCCACAGCAGAGAGCTGGCCTGGAAGAGGAGCAACCAGGACAGAATCCGGCACCCCGACTGGGACTAGAACCTGGTATGCCGCCACCGTTAGGCGGAGGATTAGCCTATTGAGCCATGGCGCCATCCTGTTTGTTTTATTTTTAATAGAGACAAAAGCAAAACAGTGGATTAGGGGCCAGCATTTGGCACAGCAGATACATCCCTTATATGCATTTGTTCCAGTCTTCACTTTCCTGCTTCCAATCCTACTCCCTGCTAATGAGCATGGGAAAGCAGCAGAAAAAGGTCCAAGTGCTTGGGTTCCTGCTACCACCATGGGAGACGTGGAAGAAATTCCTGGCTCCTGGCTTTGATATGGCCAAGACCTAGCCTATGCAGCCATTTGGGGAGCGAACCAGCAGAAGGAAGCTCTGTGTGTGTGTGTGTGTGTGTGTGTGTGTAATGGTGCCACTTAAAAAATGAAAATATTTGTTTTAAAAAAAGGAGTGGATTAAAGTATTTCTTGGAAAGCCTTTTGAAGAAACGCTCAAATGTAAGATTTCTGTAAGTAATACCTGGCACTGAAACAGACTTAAACATGTTTTCATGCAGCGAATGTTTAAAGATTCAAAAACAGAAAAGCTCTGGTCTCTATAGCAGCATTCAGATAGAGTTCATTAGAGTTTAAATAAAATCCAGACAAGTACAAGTGTTGGGGGCAGGTGTTAAGACCCCACTTGGGATGCACACATGCCCTGCCCAGGTGCCTGGGTCTGAATCTTGGCACTGCATTCAATTTCAAGTTCATACTCACACGCAGTCTGAGAGGCAGAAGGTGAACGCTCAAGTCCTTGGATCCCTGCCACCCAGCATGAGAGACCCAGATGCAGATCCAAGCTTCAGGCTTGGTGACTCCGGCCTGCTGGCTTCCCGGAGAGGAAAGAGCCCAGAATCTAACAAGGCCGTCCAATGTGTGCAGAGGGAAGGCGGGCAGGGAGCAGGTGAGGGAAGGTCCCCAGTGTGAAGGGAGGAGCTGAGTCCTGCCCTGAAAGGGACAGAGCCCTGCATGGGTTTGAAGGACAGCAACAGTGGGAGTCCACACTTTGGACTTCTGGGCATAAAGAAAATCCACACCAGGGAACAGATGGGGCACCAAGCCTGCCACCCCACCCCTGCCTGCTTCTTCTTCTTCTTCTTCTTCTTCTTCTTCTTCTTCTTCTTCTTCTTCTTCTTTTTGACAGGGAGAGTGGACAGAGACAGAGAGAAAGGTCTTCCTTTTGCCGTTGGTTCACCCTCCAATGGCCGCCGCCAAGGCCGGTGCGCTGCGGCCGGCGCACCGCGCTGATCCGATGGCAGGAGCCAGGTGCTTCTCCTGGTCTCCCATGGCGTTCAGGGCCCAAGCACTTGGGCCATCCTCCACTGCACTCCCTGGCCACAGCAGAGAGCTGGCCTGGAAGAGGGGCAACCGGGACAGAATCCGGTGCCCCAACCGGGACTAGAATCCGGTGTGCCGGCGCCACAAGGCGGAGGATTAGCCTAGTGAGCCACGGCGCCGGCCAACCCTGCCTGCTTCTTGTTCCCCAGCCCTGCCCTCGGTGTGAAAGACAATCTCACCTGAATGGGTAGGACCCATCTCTATACCTGGCCATGACCACTGTAGCTCACCCCAAAGGAAAGACTTCCCCAGAGAAAGCCCCTGAGGCACCTCCCCAACTACACGTTCACTGTCTCTCGTGGAAATGCAGGTGACTGGGGCCACAGAACCTGAATTAGCAAAGGCACCGGCCTGCCAGTTCTCTGGACTGCTGTGTTTCACCATCAATCTCTCTTCTGAAACTCAGGGTCCAGAAAACCTAAGGGAGAGAAGTGGTGCAGCCTCCCACAGGTATCCAGGCCACAGCTCCTGGAGGGAGACACACCATGGGGAAAGAGCCAGGATACTGAAACCAGTCACACAGGAAACTCAGCAGCAAGGTCAGGAGAACCAAGTGTAACCGGGGCCCTGCCCGGCACACTTCTGTGACTCCCAACAAGGCCTGCTTCTAGTGACTTGTCCTTGTGTTGTGGGCTTCGGGCAGGTGCACACACACCAGCAGGACCTGTGTTCCCATTTCACATTCTGAAAACAGTAACCAGGTCATGAGTGTGCAGAGAGCTCACACAGAGTGTCTGCGTGTCTGCCCTGGACACGGCTCACAGCCTTATCCCGTCAGGATCACCATGAACCATCTGTCAGTCCTGGGGGTGCCCTTGAGATTCCTCTGAAGTCACTTTTCCCTGTAACTTCCCAGAGGCCCTCCAAGAATGGCTTGACCACCCACTCAAGCTGAAGTACTCACAGCCCCGATTCTGTCCCGGGAGGAGGCAGAACAGCAAAAGGGCTGTGATCCATCTTGGTGGAGCATGCATGTTACCTTCAGATTTGAAAGAAATGATCATTCCCTAGAACTAGCTCCCAACCCCAGGAAACATGGAGCTAAGACAAATAACCTGGGTGCAGAGGGCTCCGTGTCCACAGCTTCCCCAGGTAGAGCCCGAGGGGCCCTCTGCTCTGCAGGCAGCCCCCAGTTCTACTGTTACCTCCCTCCTGTTTGCACAGGCAGCTTTGGAAGGCCAGGCTGGGCCAGATGACCCAGTGTCCAGAACACTTGCAGAGAAACCGCTGCTACATGGGCCCCTCTGTTCTCTGCTGAACCCAGGCCACAGTCAGAATTCCTGCCCAGCTCCCACCGGTAGCTGTCTGCGTCCACACCTGGCCAATCCCACACACTGTGATGTCAGAGTGCTTGGCCTTCAGGGTGGGGTCTTGTTCTCCATTGGCACTGCAGGTGCACATTGGTATGGACATTCTCAGCTCTGCCTCCATGCACATCACGAATGACTGGACCTCCCTGCTCTGTCACAGATCCATGGACCCTCCTTCCTGTGTAGCAGCAACTGTGCATGTTTGAGCCTCTCACTCTCTCCCTTAACTCCCTCCCCCTCCACAAACCTCACCATGCTCACCTCCCTCACCTCCACCCCCTAAACTACCACACTGCAGACCCTCCCACCTTCCCCATACCCCACACCCAATCCCCCACCAATTTCTACCCCACATCTACCCCCACCCACCCCGAGTCAGCTTCTGGGAGCCATCGCTCTCTTCTCAGGTCCAGGAGGTCAGCCTGTGTGTCAGCCCCAGAGCAACGAGAGGGGACCGTCCTTGTCCAGGGGAGATCCATCTGGTAGTCAACTCCATCCAACCACGCCAAGGTGCACCCAACACAACACACACGACAGTTCCATGGATAAAGTTTAGATTTTTATTCATGAGAAGCACAGAAAGCTCTCAAGAAATGCGAGCCCTCCGGCAGCTCAGCTTGCACACTGAGGCAGGCTAGCTGGGGGCCACCTTTCGGCTGCGGGGGCCAGGGCCTCTGGCTGGGGCCGGCAGGCAGCAGGCACGCAGGAGGAATCTGAGGATGCTCCTGCCAATCCTCCTGCCCAGCCCCTGCCGGCCCTTGCTCGGGACAGAGGCCGATGCTGAGCTCCCAGCCTCCTCAGGCTCAGCTGCTGGGACCTCTGGCACCACCAGGTGCTGACTGCTCCCGAGGCTGGGGGTGGAGGGGGCAGGCACAGGGACGGGCTCGGGGGCTGGGCTGGCACCAGGGATCCTCTCCTGCAGCAGTCCAGGGAGTGGAGAGGCAAGCATGGGGGCGGACACTGCAGGATCCGGCTCAGGCTGGGGTGGCGACTCCGACTCCGACTCCAGCTGCAACGCAGGCTCTGGCTCTGACTCTGACTCCAGCTCTGCCTCTGAATCCGACTCCGCCTGGGACATGCACTCAGGCTCTGGCGTGGGCTCCCTGTATCCCTGAGGTGACAGGGGAAGGCAGGTGAGAAGGACAGGTGCACGCTGGACCTCCCTCATGCCCCCAAACCCGGGGAGACCATGAAAGACCCGCACTCTGACACCGGGGCTCTACCTGCTCCAGGCTCCGGGAATCTGGCTGCAGGGACATCCGGCTGGATCCCCCAGGGCCAGATGGCTCCGAGGCTCCAGCGTCCGGAAGCAGACCCAGGCCCGCCAGGTACTCCTGGGCCTCTGGGTCCTCGGGAACCCCCAGGGGCTGCACCACGGTCACCTCCTCGCCCTCGGCTCCTTCTAGAAGAGGGTCAAACCACTGTTGCAGGCTGGCGATTTCCGCTGTGGGTCTGTCGCACGGGTCCATGCTGAGGAGTGAGCTCAGAAGCTCCTCCAGGGCCGGGCTGGCCGCACATGGGAGCTCGTAGCTCTCCCTCTGGATGCAGTCCCGCAGCTCCTCCCGGTCCTTCCTGCTGAAGGGCATGGCCCCCGCCAGCATGGCAAAGAGGATGACCCCCAGGCTCCAAATGTCTGCTGCGAATGGATTGTACGGCTCCTGCCAGAACACCTCGGGGGCGCTGTACTCCGGGGTCCCGCGGAAGCCCTGCACCAGCTCGCCCTCGGGCAGATGGCAGCTGAGCCCAAAGTCCGCCAGCTTCACGTTGAGCTGAGAGTCCAGCAGCAGGTTCCCCAGCTTGAGGTCCCTGTGCGCCACCCGCTGTGCGTGGCAGTGGCCCACAGCTTCCAGGACTTGGGCAAACAAGACCATGGCCTCGGGCTCTGGCAGGCCACCCCGGCTCATCACGTGCTGGTAGAGGTCGCCCCCGTCCACCAGCTCCATCACCAGGCAGTGGTAATGGCCGACCCAGCCCACCTCCAGCAGCTGCACGATATTCGGGTGCCTCAGGAGCTGCATGATGCTGGCCTCTTGCGTCACTCGCCTGGTGCCAAAGGGGTCGCTGGAGTCTTCAAGGAATATCTTCACAGCCACCTGCCGCTGGCTGGACGCCTGCTGGGCCAGCACCACCAGGCCGAAGCTGCCCTGGCCCAGGACCGACAGCAACTGGAGACCAAGCTGGTGCCTGGCGATGGCATCCGGACCCTCACGGCCTTCCAGGTGGGTGTCCCTAACTACACTCTCTGCACTACTCTGGCTAATATTCCTGTCCATACACACTAACTAAGGAGCTACCCTAACTACAATAACTAACAAAATAAAGGGAGAACAAGGGGACTACCTGCTGATCTGACTACCGTACCACACTACCTATACTAACTACACTTATCAAACACAGTGGCAAAACTAAGTCCTATCTAACCAAAACAGAAAACAAAAACCAGAAAAACTCCAAAACAACAAACACTAAATAGCTACACTAACACTCCGAGATCTAGCCACGCTGCCTAGCTAGAGATGCGGGAAGCCAAAAACAAAAAAAAACTGCAAAAAAAGACACAATGGGCCAAAAAAGAAATAGGAGGAAAAAAACAAACTAAATCCAAATGGGGGAAAGAAAAAACCAAATAGAACAAGAAACAAACAAACAAACAAAACAGCACACCAACACCAACCAGCACAAGCGCACGCAAAGATGGGTCCAAGTCACACAGGTCACCGAAATAGCTCCCTGGTAAAGCGGACAAAAACCTGGGCCGCGCAGCCGCTTATATAGGCGTGTGGAATCCTGTCATCACAGGGCTCCTTATGACGTCAGAGCGAGAAAAGGGCCAATGGCAGTGCGGCAGGGGCTTGCACGAACTCTCTATTTCATGACACTTGGTCCTTGTGAAGTCAGAGATGGGTGGGGACCAATCACAGCCACAGCTAATCCTCAGGGTTTTCTCAACAAACTTCCTCTTAAACAATATCAAAGACCCAAAGAGCTTCTGGCTTAGATTGGTGATACAGATTGAGGGTTATTTTTTGAACAATAAAACACATAGTATCACCTATAGCCTTTTCATTTCTGGTTTAAAGAGTGGTAACAACTGATGGGTCTTTAAGACCTTCGATTGTCTACAGTCTACATACACGTCCCATTTCCTTGTACCTCGGAATGATAGGTCTCAGAATGATGTTACAACTTCTCTGGCATCCTGATATCCCTGACAAAGTGTTCTGTTGCCCATGACACCATCACTTTCTTCACTTCAACAGAGTTGAGAGAAAGGGATCTTTCTTCATCCTTTCCCCCTAAGATCCTCACCAGATTTCTTGTTAGAAACCCTGGAGGACCAGAAGGTAGCTCTGGGCAGGGGTGGGGTGGGGGGTGGGGTATAGTCCAGGTGGGGAAGGCCAACCAAGTGTCAGCTGAGAGAGCTGCATCCTCCAACTTGTCCTTAGAAAAGCAGGAAGAAATGGAGGCATTTTCTGATGTCTCAGGGTTCCTGGGCTACTCCAACAGAGTGTCGTGAAGGGAGTCATGGAAAACAGAAATTTATTCCTCAGTGTTTGTTCTGCAGGCTGGAAGGTGAAGGTCAGGGCTCCAGCAGACTCGTTGTCTGGAAAGCGCTCCCTCTCTGCTGCTGCTGTGCCCTCTTCAGAGAGAGATGGGAAGATGGAAAGGCTGGTGGTTTGCTGTGGTTGGTTGAAGCTAAGTACATGTGTGGAGAGTGGTGTTGTAGTCCTTAAAAAAGTACCACACCTTAGTCCAAAACTCCCCAGTAAATTTTAAGGAAAGATCATGGCTTCCTGGGGTGTCCTCAGATGGTGAAACCACAGACCTCACCCCGTCAAGCCCTTTAGACAGACAGGTAGCCTGCGGCTGACACTGGAGTCCAGCAGGTTAAACCCTGCTACACCATATGGTCATATGTTTGGGGCATCCTATATTGCACTTTTGGAGGTCAGGGTGCTCCACTTATTATCCAACTCCTTACACCATTGTTCCTAGGGAAGCACAGAAAGTGGTCCAAGTATGTGGGTCTCTATCACCCATGTGGGAAACCTGGATGGAGTTCTAGGTTCCTCCGTTAGGCCTGATCCAGAAGTGGCAATTGTTGCTATTTGGTGAGTGAACCAGCAGTTTGAAGATATCTCTCTTTCTCATTCTCTTTCTCTTTTTTTTATTTCTCTCTCTCTCTCTCTCTCTCTCTCTCTCTCTCTCTGTCTCCCCCCTTCTCTCTCTGTACTCTTTGAAATAAATATCTAATTCTCCTTTTTTTTTTTTAGAGGAAAAGAAGCTTACTCATCCTGTGAAAGAGAGTTGAGCTCTAGTCCTAGGTTCCCCACCTCTTTATACTTTAGCATTGACTTTGAAGTTTGACATGAAGTTTGGAGGGACATGGACAGTTCTCACCACTAAGCCTGCTCTGCGTGAAAGGCATCTTTGAGGCTGAACTACAGGACCCTGGGCAGGACGGCAAAATACTCTTTAATTTCTTTCATCTATGATTCATATTTTTCATTGTAGAAATCTTTTACTTCTTCAGTCACATTTATTGCCAACTATTTTCTTTTTCTTTAGTGTAGCTATTGAACATGGGATTGCTTTCTACTGCATATTGTATATTGACGTTGCACCCTGACACTTTGCTATGTGTATTTTTTCTCTCAGGTTTTTGGTGGAGTCTTTGCTGGTTTTCTATATGTAAGATAGTATCATTAGCCAAAAGTGACAATTGGGCCTCCTTCTTGAATTTAGATGCGATGTTCCTGATTTTTTTCTTTTGCCAAATATCTTTAGCTAGAATTTCCAGTACAATGTAGAATTAAACTTAAATGATAAAAAAGTCTGCATAAATTTAGTATCTTTTAGCATTGATCTTGGTTTTACAATGTCTAGAAATATGCTTTCGTTTTGAGCTGTATTTGTTCATTTTCAACCTGAATTTTCTAATATAGAAATCAAATTATTAAATTTTGATTAATAATTTTACATATGTTAAACATGTGGAATAAACATGATTTATAGGTATATAATCTCTGAGATCAGCCAGTAGTACTTCTCTTTAAGAAATACAGAAAGCAGGGCCAATGTACTGGCATAATAGGTAAAGCCATTGCTTGTAGCATCCTATATTGATGCTGCATCGTGTCATAGCTGCTCCACTTCTGATCTAGTTTCCTGATTATTGCCTAGGCAAAGCAGTAGATGATGGTCCAACTGTTTTCACATCTGCTGCCCACCTGTAAAACCTGGATAAAACTCCTGGTCCCGGATTTGGCTTGACCCAGCCCTGGCTCTTGTGGCCATCATATGAGTGAACCAGTGGATGGAAGATTTCTCTGTCTTTTTCTCTCTGTAACTCTGACTTTCAAATAAATAATTCCCTTTTATAAAAGATTTATTTATTTATTGATTTGAAAGTCAGAGTTACACAGAAAGAAGAGAAACAGAGAGAGAGAGAGAGAGAGAGAGAGAGAGAGGTCTTCCATCCACTGATTCACTCTCCAGTTGGCCACAACCACCGGAGCTGAAGTGGCTGTGCCATTTTTGTACCCCTACCAACAATAAGTGACAGTTCCTGTCATTCCATGTTCTTGCAAGCATTTGGTATTCAGTTCTTTGGATTTAAGAATTTCTAAGGTACTTGTATCTTTTTTTGTCAAGGAAATGGGACGTGTATGTAGACTGTAGACAATCGAAGGTCTTAAAGACCCATCAGTTGTTATCACTCTTTAAACCAGAAATGAAAAGGCTATAGGTGATACTATGTGTTTTATTGTTCAAAAAATAACCCTCAATCTGTATCACCAATCTAAGCCAGAAGCTCTTTGGGTCTTTGATATTGTTTAAGAGGAAGTTTGTTGAGAAAACCCTGAGGATTAGCTGTGGCTGTGATTGGTCCCCACCCATCTCTGACTTCACAAGGACCAAGTGTCATGAAATAGAGAGTTCGTGCAAGCCCCTGCCGCACTGCCATTGGCCCTTTTCTCGCTCTGACGTCATAAGGAGCCCTGTGATGACAGGATTCCACACGCCTATATAAGCGGCTGCGCGGCCCAGGTTTTTGTCCGCTTTACCAGGGAGCTATTTCGGTGACCTGTGTGACTTGGACCCATCTTTGCGTGCGCTTGTGCTGGTTGGTGTTGGTGTGCTGTTTTGTTTGTTTGTTTGTTTCTTGTTCTATTTGGTTTTTTCTTTCCCCCATTTGGATTTAGTTTGTTTTTTTCCTCCTATTTCTTTTTTGGCCCATTGTGTCTTTTTTTGCAGTTTTTTTTTGTTTTTGGCTTCCCGCATCTCTAGCTAGGCAGCGTGGCTAGATCTCGGAGTGTTAGTGTAGCTATTTAGTGTTTGTTGTTTTGGAGTTTTTCTGGTTTTTGTTTTCTGTTTTGGTTAGATAGGACTTAGTTTTGCCACTGTGTTTGATAAGTGTAGTTAGTATAGGTAGTGTGGTACGGTAGTCAGATCAGCAGGTAGTCCCCTTGTTCTCCCTTTATTTTGTTAGTTATTGTAGTTAGGGTAGCTCCTTAGTTAGTGTGTATGGACAGGAATATTAGCCAGAGTAGTGCAGAGAGTGTAGTTAGGGACACCCACCTGGAAGGCCGTGAGGGTCCGGATGCCATCGCCAGGCACCAGCTTGGTCTCCAGTTGCTGTCGGTCCTGGGCCAGGGCAGCTTCGGCCTGGTGGTGCTGGCCCAGCAGGCGTCCAGCCAGCGGCAGGTGGCTGTGAAGATATTCCTTGAAGACTCCAGCGACCCCTTTGGCACCAGGCGAGTGACGCAAGAGGCCAGCATCATGCAGCTCCTGAGGCACCCGAATATCGTGCAGCTGCTGGAGGTGGGCTGGGTCGGCCATTACCACTGCCTGGTGATGGAGCTGGTGGACGGGGGCGACCTCTACCAGCACGTGATGAGCCGGGGTGGCCTGCCAGAGCCCGAGGCCATGGTCTTGTTTGCCCAAGTCCTGGAAGCTGTGGGCCACTGCCACGCACAGCGGGTGGCGCACAGGGACCTCAAGCTGGGGAACCTGCTGCTGGACTCTCAGCTCAACGTGAAGCTGGCGGACTTTGGGCTCAGCTGCCATCTGCCCGAGGGCGAGCTGGTGCAGGGCTTCCGCGGGACCCCGGAGTACAGCGCCCCCGAGGTGTTCTGGCAGGAGCCGTACAATCCATTCGCAGCAGACATTTGGAGCCTGGGGGTCATCCTCTTTGCCATGCTGGCGGGGGCCATGCCCTTCAGCAGGAAGGACCGGGAGGAGCTGCGGGACTGCATCCAGAGGGAGAGCTACGAGCTCCCATGTGCGGCCAGCCCGGCCCTGGAGGAGCTTCTGAGCTCACTCCTCAGCATGGACCCGTGCGACAGACCCACAGCGGAAATCGCCAGCCTGCAACAGTGGTTTGACCCTCTTCTAGAAGGAGCCGAGGGCGAGGAGGTGACCGTGGTGCAGCCCCTGGGGGTTCCCGAGGACCCAGAGGCCCAGGAGTACCTGGCGGGCCTGGGTCTGCTTCCGGACGCTGGAGCCTCGGAGCCATCTGGCCCTGGGGGATCCAGCCGGATGTCCCTGCAGCCAGATTCCCGGAGCCTGGAGCAGGTAGAGCCCCGGTGTCAGAGCGCGGGTCTTTCATGGTCTCCCCGGGTTTGGGGGCATGAGGGAGGTCCAGCGTGCACCTGTCCTTCTCACCTGCCTTCCCCTGTCACCTCAGGGATACAGGGAGCCCACGCCAGAGCCTGAGTGCATGTCCCAGGCGGAGTCGGATTCAGAGGCAGAGCTGGAGTCAGAGTCGGAGCCAGAGCCTGCGTTGCAGCTGGAGTCGGAGTCGGAGTCGCCATCCCAGCCTGAGCCGGATCCTGCAGTGTCCGCCCCTGTGCTTGCCTCTCCGCTCCCTGGACTGCTGCAGGAGAGGATCCCTGGTGCCAGCCCA